GAGCGGATAGGTGAATGCACTCGAATGACCTATAAATAGTCAGATCTCGTAGGAATAAGTCCAGTTTACATCCGAAGACTATTGTGGATACTAACAATCGAAACGTCGTGACGTAATTTGGCTTGGAATCTTTTAATTTTTCATTTTTTGAGATGACCGTTTGGCGGGAGTTGGTAGTTTTTCACTTGATTAGAGGTTTCCATATGTTACGTATCTCTACGCTAGCTTTTCTAAATGCGTTGTTGGACAACATATACGCGGCTTCTTTGAATTTTCTCCTAAACCAGTGTTCCTCTTTGTGGATGATTTCAACTTGAGCCCACTTGATGTTATGTTGATGAGTTCAAACATGCTCTGCTATTCCGGATTTGCTGGTTTCTTCTCGCTGTGTCTGTTTTTTGTACTCAGCAATGCGAACTTTTGATGACCTCTTAGTTTCACCGATGTATTATTCTCCGCACTCACAGGGTATCCGGTAAATGCAATTCTTGGAATCGCAGTCCGCGTTTCGTGGCCTGGTTTACGTGAAGCTGCTACGGATAGTGTTCCCAGATATGAAACAGGTCCTGATGTTATATTTGGACCCATTCCTTCTCATCCTTTCGGATAATCCTCTGATGTAGGGAAGTACAAGTACTGGTTGTGGCGGCTTCTCTTCCTTGTGGAGCTAGCTACCATCACTCTGGAGTAACCATTCTGTTGAAGGTCATTTTTGATGATGCCTAGTTCCTTTTCGGGACCTTCCTTTGTATTATAGAGCACGAAAGCACGGTCTAGTAGAGTCTTGATGATTCCTCTTTTAGTCGATTGATGGTGGTTGGATTTCTGGTTCAGATACTGTCCTGTGTGAGTTGGTTTTCGATATACAGATGTTCCCCATTTAGTGACGGTCTTTTTCACCAATACGTCTAAGAAAGGCAATTAGTTGTGGATTTCCTTCTCCAGTGTGAAAGTGATGGAAGGTCTTACGCTGTTGATGTGCTTTAGGAAAGTGTCTAGTTCTTCATTCCCATGTTTCCATATTATGAAGATGTCGTCTACGTATCTCAGTCAGACTCGGGGCTTCTTGTGGGCTTCTTCAAGTGACGTAACTTGGTTTGGAATCCTTTAATTTTAATTTTTCATGTTTTGTTAATGATATTTTTTGATTTTTTTTTAATTTTCAGCTTTCATTATTTTTGAATTTTTTATTTTTTTTGGTTGTTGCTTGTATGCTATTTCTTTGTAATTTCAGTTTTTTGTTCAATACAATTGTTATTTTTGGTTAAACTTGTTAATTTTATTTCAGGTATTTCAAATCAATTTATATTATATCAGATAATGGAAGTCCAAACTGATGAAATATTGTCAACCTCCTTCAAACAAAAGATGCCCTTTATCAATTGTTAATGTTCGGAGACCCTGTTGGAAGACCCTATACAAGGTTCCATATCGGATCCTTTATTTTGTATAATATATAATATTTTGTATTATATATAATATACGACAATATATCATTATGATACAGTGATCTTCTATCTAACAGCAAAAAGTTTTTTGAACAGTTGAAAAGTAATTGATTTAACATCGGTATCTCGTCGAATGTTTAAAAGCGTTCCACATACATTCTTTCCAAAAAATGTTTTCAGTCTCTATCGTGACTCACGCTTAGGAGGAAAATGGATCCAGAGAAGAGAAACTATTGAAGTTTTTTGGAGTAGTTTTTGATATGGAGTTGACACGTGATCTTTGTATCGCAACATGGTGTTCAAAATTCAGCCTGTTGTGGCCGTTGAATACAATGTATTCAATCAACACTTTATTGTGATATTTTTCCAGGGAGCTATTCTATATCTGAAGTATTACTTGAATACGTTATGGATTTTTTTCAAGTATCAGCCAATTTCGTCACATATTTTGGACACAATGTGTTATATTAATAGAGTATCACTAAAGATATGACCTATATATTTTGGACTGGTTCAGTTTATATTTCCAAGTGTGTTATTCTAAGAAGACCCTCATCTCACTTTGGAAGTGCTTTCATACCTAAAGAAATTTCAGAGAGACATATGTAAGACTCATTCCCAAGGAGTTTGCATTTATTTTTGAGAATGAGACAGCATTGATCGTCAGTTCAATTAATGGATTGAATTCAAATGATCTACAGTTTTAACTACACTTGTATATAACTGGAGCTTTTTCCCAACACCAAAAAGGTATTTTAACACCTCGAAACGTGTTTCGGTCACCAAGTGATCATCTTAAAGAGTACGATTGAACTTAGTTTAACCCTGTTCACTTTGGGGGTCATTTAAAGCTGTTGGCTATACAGCAGTCCATTAAGTTGAGGAATTAGAGAATTCCCGAGTCAGCGAAAACTCATGAGAACGCACTAGTCAGAGAAGCTTTAAAATATGTTATAAACGACCACTCTCACGATTCAGAACGCCTCGTCGCTCAGTTGAGCGACTACTCTCAGTTTTGAACCATTTGTAACTACCGACCAATTTCAGTTATAAATAATTTAGCAAAAATTTTTGAAAAATGTTTGAAATCTAGACTTATGGAATTTTTTGAGAAAAATCAAATAATATCTAACAGGCAATTTGGTTTCAGAAATAATCTAAGTACACAACATGCCATAATTGATCTTACAAAAGGGATTGTTGACTGCTTAGATAAGTCAGAGAAATGTTTATGTATATTTCTCGACTTAGCAAAAGCTTTTGATACGGTAGGTCANTATTATATTATATTATTATATTATCTGTAACAATCTGTAAAAAATGACAATTATGGAATGGATGAATAAAGTTTGATTTGATTTGATTTGATTTGATTTATCTTCCTGACGAACCTCGGTTGAAACGATAAGCAAAAAACTGCAACCTGAATGACATAAAAACGACCATGCTGCATTATAGTTTATGCGTTGAGAATAACTCGAGCACTTTGATAGTTATCCCATCGCCTATGATAATACCTACCGCAGTAGTAGACGAATCGTCGGGCATGAAAACCACAGCCAAAAAATCCGGAAAATTGTTCTGACACATTCTTACACTCGTTCAAACAAACAAAAATCAGCATGTTTCTGATATTTGTGCAATTAATGAAACTGGAAAAGACGAAGGTTTTCAAGTGTTACCAGAAACAAGAAATTCACATGGAGGCTTGGGAAGGCATTTTGAGTGTCAATATTTTTCGGTTTCGAAGGCCGTGGATTTTTGGAATTCCTTTCAAATTCACAACTGAAAAAATAGTGACACTGTAAACCTCGACCGCAAAAGCCTTAAACACTTTGGCAAGGCATTTCAAATCAGAAATTATGATAATAAAACAAATAAAAAATTTGAAGAGAGCAGACGAGGCAGTAACAAATGAGCATTCAATTAATTAAAATTACTGTTTATTACTATCATAAAACTTGAACCAAGAAATGAAAGATTAGAAATCAACTCTGATGTACAAAATTTTGATTTTTTTTATTTATCTATATTGAATCGAAGAAGAAGGAGAGTAGGAAAGTGGTAGGAGAGTACGCCACAATTGGGAAACTATCAAAAATTACCCTCCCTTAAGAGATGTTCGAAACAATTGCAAGTCGACTCATTAACATTGCCTCTACCTTCCATGTTTATGAAATAGCGAAATAAAAAATTTCTAAAAAAATTCTGAATTTAGAACAAACAAAAACCACTTAAGACTCCTAAGTTTGAGTATAACAAATTAATTGAGAAATTTCTTCTGAAATTCTATATTAAAATTTAACCTACACTCTCAGTTCTCATAAGTGTAACAGCAGGAGATTGGCATGCATTAAAATGGTTGTGAAGCATACATTAAAATTTTGAGTCAATTTGCCAAATTGTTAGCACTTCATTCACTTGAAGTTTTGTTTTTGTACATAATGGTTTGTGCAACGTGTCATTATCAATCAATCAAATTCAATAATATTAGGTATGTATCAATCAAGTGAAGATTTATGTACGACCACTTGTGGTTTTAAAAAACCGCCTATTGCAAAACGCAAATGAACTTAAGAGATTTTTAGAATGCCTTTTTCTGTACATGAAAGGAATAATATTGAGGTGACCACTGAAGTGTGACACAAAGGAAATATTAATGATCGCTGAGTTATGTTCGCTCGATCATTAGTCGGATGTTAATTGTGCTGTGATTACATCTGCTCAGTTACATTATTCTTTTCGAAATGGCCAGCGAACAATGTTCGCTGGTTAATAATCGAAAGTAACTAGAGATAAACGGGCCAAGTTCAATTTCTCTATATTATTGAATCGAACCGTAATTCATCACTCAAATTGCTCAGAAACTCTACCGACCAATTAGTAACTCATTGTACAGTAATGAGCAGAATAGTTGTCACAAGTCGCCAACCATGTTGGCGAATTATTTTTAATTTTTGTATGTGTTACCGGCCAAACCCGATTTTAGGCCAAACTAGGCTAAACTAGTTTATCCTATATGCGATCGGATAAACCGGTACATACTAAGCGAAAAGGGGCTGTCCTAAGGATGATAGGAGAAACTAGTTTGACCTAGGAGGAACTGGTTGGGCCTAATATGAATAAGTACACTTCAGGATAAACTAGTTTGGCTTAGTATATTCTATGCTAACAGGGAATAATAAAATACCAGAAATACGAGTAATAAAATCAAGATGTATTTATTAATTAGATCAAAATCGAATTCACTTATTTTTGCATAGTGTACTCTGATGGCATTTAGAATTGCAGAGCATCATTTTTTTCTTGCATTTGCACCTGTTTGTCAAACACTTTTTTACGCAGCTCCACCTCACGAAACCTTGCCCTGAACCAACTGGCTGACTGGCTGCAGTCCTCAGAGATATTTCGGTATCTTGGTCAACAACTGAATTAGATATTTGCATTTCTGAATGCAAATATCGAATTCAGTTCTGAAAGAAAAAAACAAATCAAAACTAATATTTTTCAATCACCAGAAAAATATGGTAATGTCGACATTGAAGTACAAGTCTATTCAAAATAAGTATTATCAAAATGGGCTTCAAAAATACAGTGAGCAAAAAATCTGTACCTGTAATATAATTTCTGCAATACACCATGCTTGGTGCCAACTTTATAAAGGTCCTCATCGTTTTTCCGAAAAATAACCCCAATAATGTTTCTGAGATCACCTCTGCCTTTGTCTACGTCTGGAATTGGTATAGTTACATTGTCTCCAATGTTGGCAGGTGAATGGGATTTGTCGAAAAAAGCTTTCATTTTTTTTGCTTGTTTTTTAAGATTTTTTGCCGCCGTTATTCTAGCATCTTTAATGTTCTGTGTATCAATTCCCACAACGCCGCCATCTCCATCTTCACTATGATTACTATTCGAATCATCTTCGATAACTTTTCTGAGGTCATCCTCATCCTGAAGATCATTTATTATTTCTTGCAGTAACGATGAAGTCGAAAGTCCTACTCTAGGCTCTATCCCGAATAAAGCCTTGTGAGGCGATTGTTTTATTCCTAAGTGAAAGGCACGGTCTTTCATAAACTGGACATATGTTAAACCCTCCGACCATTTCGTTGAATTTTTGTCCTTCAGCCAAGAACTCATCATGTTCTCTAAATCTTGATTAGCGCGTTCAACGGAACCCTGATTTTGACTGTGCCTTGGTTTTCCACGCACAATTTTAAGTTCTGGCGAAAGAGTTACGAGCTCACTAATCACATTATTGACAAAATTCTCTTCCATTGTCAGATTGGAGAATGCATGGTGCTCCTATAGTTAGTAGGCTACAGGTAGGCTACAGGTAGTAGGCCACTTCTGCCGCTCTCTTAGATGTTAACGCACGCAGATGAACAAATTTTGTTGAATGGTCTTGGTAAACCATAATAAATTTGAATTGTTCATCAGGTTGTGTCTGAAAATCGATCAAATCCACCTGGCATCTGCTATTCATTTCAGAGTGAAGAATCGGCTTTGAAACTAGTCCTGTCTTCTTTTTTGTCTTCTTTTGTTGACATACATCACACATTGATAAATAGAGGCTTATCATTTCTTTTGTGATATTAGCATATTTTTTTGATGTCTCGGCCAATATTCTGTCACGTCATCCATGTCCAACCCACATGAGCTGCGTCAATCACATCATAAAGCTCATTAGCCTGTAGATAGTATTTTATATTCCCTTCCCTCCGTGCTATTAGTTTTTTTACATCTCCTATTTTTAGCACACCAAATCGTTTGAATCGTCTTTGTTTTAAAGGTGTCCTTTTTTCCGACTTTTCAGCATCTTCCACTTGTTCAACCAGTTCCGAATATACATCTGATAACAACACATTATAATGAGAAGACTTTTTTTTTTCACTTTCCGCAATTTCTGCTACAAACTTTTCTCTCCACTTTTTTTGATCTCATCTGATCTAGATGTAGAAGGCTCATTCATACAAAACCGAAAAATTGTACTTTTATCTTTTCAAAACACGAGTATCAACTAACACGTCCTCAATTCAAAGCAGAATGAGCGTAACTGGGCAAGCGACGACGTGAGAAATACGATCGGGGGATCCCCGAATGCACAGGCCTCGACACGTACCTACTCGCTTAATTTGTCCCTGTTAGCATAGAATAGACTAGGCCAAACTAGTTTATCCTGAAGTGTACCTATTCATATAAGGCCCAACCAGTTCATCCTAGACCAAACTAGTTTATCCTGAAGTGTACTTATTTATATTAGGCCCAACCAGTTCCTCCCAGGTTAAACTAGTTTCTCCTATCATCCTTAGGACAGACCCGTTTCCCCTAGTCTGTACCGGTTTATCCGATCATATATAGGATAAACTAGTTTAGCTTAGGTAAAACTAGTCTGGCCTAAAATCGGGTTTGGCCGGTAAAATATGCACCCAGATTTGTAGAAAATGAGCAAACCTACTTCAGGCCGTTATCTTTAATCCTAGAATATCAAGTTGATGCATGCATGATGACTTCTTATAGAAATAGATAACAAGTAACGCCGATATTCATTTGCGAACAGAAAAAATTGATGATTTATCTCTCCCCGTTATGTTTGGCGATGAATCAAAAATCAAATCTTACGTGAATTATAATGAATAATCTCTTTTTCTTCGTACAGAATTTGCCTGGTAGATAATAGTTACTCGAACTTTTTCTAGAAAGGACAATTCGCCGTTCCAAGATGTTCCTTCGTTCACCAGACTATGTCACACTTGTTTTTTTCCTATGGAGATATTGAGAAAAAAGAGTAAACAAGGATAATCTTCTGAATACTATTGAAGAGCCTAAAATATCCATAACATTTTATCGCGAAACTATTTTTAAGAAATTATGATTTAATTCTAGCTACTTTAGATATGTGAAGATTCAGAATACTGACAAATGTATCAGGGTAACTTAAATTGCTTAGAATAATAATGCTTCGATATTTTTTTATCTATATGCTGTTTGACTTGGAGCCATTTCAATAATATGATAATGAAATGAAAAACATTTTATTTTGTTTTCGATGAACAAAAGTTCGTATAGATATCAGATACCAAAACCAAATTCTGAAATTGAACAGACAACGTAGGACAACAATTGAAAGGAGTCATATATTCAATTTAACGAAATCACCTACTGAATGCAAACAAAAATAATTTCTTCAATAATTTTTTTAAGTAATTTATAATCGAGCTCATTTTGATAATCAATGGGAGGGGAAATATTTGTCCCAACATGAAAGGATATTTGATTTGAAATCTTGGCTTCATCTGGCGTGTCTTTCAACTAATTCTACACATTCCATACTAAATATATATATAGTTTATGGAGTACCTGAAATCAAAGTACCTGTAAACGAAGTACCTGTATTTCAAGTAGCTGATATTTTACCTGAGTTTCTAACGAATTAAATTACCTGCACTTATGTTCCATTTTCACATTTGAAAAAATATATTCAGTAACGGAGAGTTATTGAGTTCTAATTGATCATTCAGTAAATTACCCGAATTCCTGAATCTATTGATTTCTAAACATTCTAGAAGATTAAGTTTCAAACTCTTTTCTTCTAAATGTAACACCTCGTACTCATGATTGAACTCATGTCCTTCTGCTAAAAGATAGTTTGCAAATGTGGAATTGGTATTTCTATTTACAAAACTACTCCTATGGTCTTTAATTCGTTGGAAAAATGTTCTTCCTGTTTGGCCAATATACAGTTTTGGACAAGAGCCACAAGTCAGCTTATATACTCCTGATCTATCCGACACCAAAGTTTTGTCCTTATTGTTTTTAATAAATTTACTTAGGTTATTATTCGTTCTATAAGCTACGTTTACGCCTTCTTTCTTCAAAAAACGGGCAATATTCCTGTTTGGTTCCCCCACATATGTCAATGTCTTATAACTAACGTTATCGCATCTTGAATATGGGTAGACCAGATCCATGGCTTGATTTTGTCGTTTTTTTGGAAAGAATGGAGTTTACCATTTCTTCCTTATAACCGTTATTAATCGCGATTTGTTTGATCAAATTCAGCTCTTTCTGGAAATCCCTATCAGACGGTGGAATATTCAGTAATCTGTGAAGCATACTATTGAATGCAGCAACTTTATGCTGGTACGGGTGTGAGGAGGAATTATGTATGATAATGTCCGTGTACGATGGTTTGTTTGGTGAGTTTGCAATGGTGATGGTGATGGTGATGGTGAGTTTGCAATTTTCCACAAACCATCGTATACGTGTTGCGTTTTTGTAAAACAATTTAGTGAAAATCTCACAATAAAGTGTTTTTGGAATACGTTCGATGTCTAGTGTTGAAACTATCAATCTGTATACTTGTTTCAAATGATCCCCGATTCCAGTAAACGTAAAAACACCGTGAAACAAAACCAGGTCGAAAGTTTTCATGAACAACAGGAGGGAACGGCTATGTGTAACCCCTTGTTCCCCACCTGGCAAACCTGTCCATGAGCAGATTCGAAATGGAAATCAAAGAAAAGTCAAAGTATTTTCCTAAGGTACGTGGATGACGTTCTCGCGATATTCGATAACAAAAAATCGAATATTGAGGACTTTGCTTTGCTTTTTAAATAACAGATGTCGGTCAATAAAATTCACGTATCAGTTAGAAAATAAGCAACAACTTCCATTTCTTGACGTTTTGGTAATGAGAAGCCAATATAGAGGGCTAAAATACGATGTATTTAGAAAAGAAACAAGCACGTACAGGTATATTCATGTCAGTTCACATCACTGTGGATAGCACAAATGTCCTGGGCTGAATTTTCTAGTGCATCGTCTTTTGACTCTTCCTCTCACACATGAGAGGTTCGCAAAAGAAAAACTTGCAATACAGAAAATAGCGGACAGTTACGGTTTCTTGAGGGGTATTTTAGATGATATAATAAGGAAGAAAAAGTTTAGGTTAAGAATGAACGAAATCTCGTCTTTCAAGAACGACGAAAACCAAGATGAATATATCTCAGTTCCATACCACTAATACACGAAGAACTTTGGGAAAATTTCGAAGGAACTAGATATGAAGGTGGTTTTCAAAACAAGTCATACACTACAGATTCCCATAGGAAATCCAAAAGACAAAGTCGAGAATTCGGAAAAGCCTGGAATTTACAAAATCAAATGTAAGGACTGTCATGCAAATTATTATGGACATACTGAAATATCTATTAATATAAGATATAAGGAACACTTAGCACAACTAAAATATGGAAGAGCAGAATAATTAGCAGTCGCCCATGATATTTTGCAACAAAACCATTTTATAGAGTTTAGTTCAATAAGATTAGCTAGACAAGTTAACAACAACAGGCATCTAGATGCCTATGAGAGTGTAAAAATAAGTAAACATAATAATATTATGAATAGCAATGATAGACCAATACCTAATAGTATACTATATAGCTTGTTAAAATAATAGTTCAATTATTAGATTCACCTGACTATTACATAAGCACACATTGTAAAATTAATTCAAGACAAGTAGATAAGGCAATATTGTGAAATCAATTGAAGACACTCAATACGCAGGTACCTAGAAGAGATATCTATGGTATAAATAAGGATAACATTGTGAGTGTATTTAGTTCAATCTTCCTCTTGACGATGGTCACTTGGTGATCGAAACACGTTTCGAGGTGTTGAAATAACGGTTTGGTTTTGGGAAAAAACTCCAATGATATTCATAAAAACACACTTTAAAATATACAAACATGGCAGAGGTGAAAAATTATTTTTTTCACATCGTCAATACACCGAATCAATCATATCTTAGGAGCGCTACAATATAACTGATTGTCGTTTAGTCAAAACTAATCTAAGACTCCGAAGCAAATGGTTTACCGAATCAATTTCTGAAATAGTCATATCGCAATGCTTTTTCCAATGTTGATTTTCATCTATAATCATTTCGAGAAATTCACATATGGAACAGAGTGTATTTGATATCATTGATATTTAAATTCACTTGGCCAATTTGCTTCTTTTTATTACTGATTCTATTTATTACTGATTCTATTTCTATTACTAATGTGTCGGAGACAACAACAGACGTATCATCTGCATATATCATAAAATGAACAGATCAAATCCAAATCAAATCAAATCCTTTATTTTCCTGTTCAACAATTTCATAAGTAATTGTATTAGGAATAGTCAGTAAAGCTGAAATTATAAACTACTACACTAAAACTAGAAGCACACACGAAAACGCATGCCCACACCACACATACACT